ACTCATGTTCTTCCACATAGAATTTTGATTGTAATTTTGTTTTATAATAATATTATTTCTTGGAACTTATTGTGAAGAGTACAATTACAATACATCATATGAGTAATATGAAGCCAGGAAGTGTTTGATGAAGATGGTTTTAGCAAGTCTAACAGGTAGGCGAGTGAATAGCAGCAATACTATCTTTGCTTTTGCAGATTTAGGATAAGTTTTTGAAATGCTAAAATGCTGTGCAAAAATGAAATAGAAATTTGGAATGTGAAAAGTGAGAGAATACTACTCTCCAGTGGTTTTAAATTGGTTGCAAAACTAGTTCCATGACCTGACATGTTTTTGCTGGCTGAGTCTATGCCAGGTCACTGCCAGGCACCAGAATAAGGTAGTAAACAGACAGATAGGGTCCCCGCTGTCACTAAGGCAGGCTGACAGTGAAGAGTGAATGCTGCAGTGGTTACTTTGGACTGGGCTGCCCAGGGAAGGGCCCTGGAAAATATGACACTTAACCGCAGCTCAATGGCAGAAAGCCAGCAATGTGAAGTTGAGATAAGAGAGCATCCCATGTACAGCACTCCAGCCACGGCACACACACATGCCTGAAGCAGGAACTAGCTTGGTATGTTTGAAGAACTCCACAAAGGTCACTTTGGCTGTGTGGGAGTGGGCACAAGAAAATAGCAAGAAAATAGCAAGAAGCAGTAAGGTGAGAGATGGGTGACAGCAATCGCATATTTCAGGACAGAGCAAGGATTTATGTTTATGTTCTTGGAATAGGAAATGTATTACTTTCTCATAGCTAGGACAAAATATCTGACACCCTCAACTTAAAGAAGGAAAGTTTTACTTTGGCTCATGGTTTCAGAGGATTCAATCCCTGGTAAGCTGCCTCCAATGTAGAAACAGCATGGTGGAAGGGAAGCATGGAACAAAGCTACTCAATCAATGGAATCCAGGCAGCAGAGAGAGAAGAGGAGAAGCTGGGGACAAGAATGAACCCTTCTGGTTCATGCCTCCAGTGACCCATCTCCTTCCACCAGCTTCCTCCCCTAACAGCACATTCATCCATGAACTCATCCATGGACTAATCCACTGATGAGTATAGCACTCCATGATCCAATCACCTTCCCAAAACCCCTCTTCCAAACACATGAGACTTTTGGGGGACATGCTAGATGTAAACCATAACAAGTAACTCAAGTGTTTTAGGCAAAGAAATAACATAATGTTATTTACACTTGAAAGGGATTACTTTGACCTCTTGTGGACATTGGCTTGTAGCCGGTGGCATTGGGATAGAAGGATGGGAGAACAATGAATGAAGAGAACATGAGTTCAGAGTTTACTGCAGTACTCCAGGAGATAAAATATAGTGTCATAAAATGATGTGATAGTAGCATAGATAGAAGTAGCAGAGATGCTGGTGGATCTGAAATGTATTTTGTTGGCACAGAGGTCAGGATTTGCTTCTGAATTGACACAAAGCAAGGAAGAAAGAATCATCAAAGGACATGCAGGTGTTTGGCTTAATCAACAAGGTTATGGGATAATTATGCCGATTATTAAAAGACTGGAAAGTGGTAAGTCAAAGGAGAGGGACATTTTGAAATACTTTAGAGGTCTATTAGAAATCCAGGTAGAGATGTGAAATAAGTAGTTGGCTTTCCTGATCTGGAGTCCTAGGCGAGATCAGAATTAGAAATTCAGATTTGGTAGAGGAATAGATTTAAGATAACTGAGTTTAGTTTTTAGAGGGTTATATTTGTACTCATATGTGGATATGTCAAGTGTCCAGTGGGTTTTGAGTCTGGAGTTGGGAGGAGATCATCAGAGCTCGAGATACTAAGGAGCTAAAAACTCATGTATTCAACGTACAAAGTGTGATGAGAAAATATGGTAAATTTAAAATTTGTAAAAATTTATTACAGTAAATGATACATTGCCATTAATCCTCCTCAAAATACTGACTCTTGGTTTGAACATACTTATCCCATAATTTTTGCCACCTTCTGAAGCAGTTCTGAAAGTCTTGTTTTGTGAGTGTCTATAGTTGTGCTGTTGTGGCTGCCTTGATGTCCCGAATTAATCCCAAACCTTTCATGGTCACTTTGACTTTGGGGAAGAGCCAGAAGCTGCATCACCCCGTAATGTTTATGTGAACCTGCCTTTCTTTTGCATGACATTTGGCAGCAACATTCACCATATATTATTTTAAAGCACACCTTGTAAATACTCTTGTGAAAGAAGACTTTCAGAACTGCTTCAGAAAATTGCAAGAATGATGTGATAAGTGTTTGAAGAGAGGGGGAGTGTTTTGAAGGAGATTAATTCAAGGTATCTTTTACTATAATGAAATATTTTGATCACTCCTTGTATGCTAGGTACTCTCTACTAGGTACTACATGATTTTTTTTAACTCAGGGCCTTCACACTGAGCTACATCCCTATTTCTGCCCCCTGCCCCACCTCTGCTTTTAAAAAAATTTTTGACTCAGGGTCTTGTTACATTGCCCAGGTAGGACTCAAAACTTGAGATGCTCCTGCTTCAGCCTCCCAAAGTGTTGGGGTTATGGGAGATGTGTCACCATGCTCAACTCATATAATTATTTTTAAACTTCTCATTCTTTCATAGCTAGTGTTCAAGGTATCTTTTTATTGACAATGGAAGGATGAAGAAACTGAGCATCAAGGAATTACCTTGCCCAAGATCACAGTTAATTAGTGGCTAAGCTCAGTTCAAATTCAGGTGGACAAAACCCAAGGTAGTTCTTCTTTGCCTTGTTCTTGGAAAAGCTTAATGCATATCTTGTGGTTCAAATTCCTCATGAAATTGTTTAATTATGTACCTGGAATAAAGGCATCTAATACAATTAGGGAACATTGATGAAATACGGAAAAGCAGAGACATAAAATCATCTGTTGTCAATGTTTTCCTAGGAAATGCTTTGTAGAACTCAAAGGAAACTCAAGTTATCAATGTACTTACCCTATATCAAAAAGACAAGACAGAAAAATAATAACTATCACTTAGTTCTAATGAATTTACTTTGTTGTGTCTAATACTTTTAAATGATTCTCTTAGTAATGATGTAACAACTCAGAGTCAACCTGGGAAGACATTAGTAGCTTTTTTAACTTGGATAATGTCCACAGAATAATGCTTAATGGTAAGGCCTGAAAATGAATTGCAACTTTAACAATTTGAGTAACAAAGCAAGCTTTGTTTTGAAGTGTTTGATATCATACAAACTCTGTTACGGTATTATCTACTTAATACTCTATTATCTGAGTGACCATTTATTATAGAAATCAACGAAGTATTTGAATCAATTTGAGCAATGGAAATATATATATTTGAAGGTAGCATGAAAATCTGAAATCCTTCAAATTTATTATTAAAATATGAAAAAAATCAATAAAATTAACTTTTGGCCTTGACACAATTTTGGATATTAAATTTTTATTCAAGAATCAAAAATCAGAGCATAAAACATATCCTGGTCCTAGTGGCAACAATGCAAATATAAAAGTATTGCCCCACTGAACATACTATTTTCCCTACTTTTCTGTAATTAGGAAAACACAGGCTGATACTCAGAGTACAAATTTTACTAAAGGGCCTCATTTTGGGTGTGGTAGGGTGGGAGGATAAAATAACTGTGTTTTGAAGAACAACCCCTTCAAAAACAAATCTACTCTATTTACTAGGAATGCTGCTATGAGATAATGTTTTCGTTAGACTGCAAGCCTCATAAGGGTGTAAGTCTTATTTTGTGTTACACTACTGCATGCTGAAAAGTAAACAAAAGCAAATACAAAATCAACCAGAGGGCTCAAGAGAGCAGAGGGTGGCCCTGCGCAGAGGGCTGGGAGACAGGAGCAGGAAGACAAAGGAACAAGGACAAAGGAACAACCTGAGGGCAGCTGGGGCAACCGTCAGGGAGGGCACAGCGAAGAGAGGGAGGGAGGAGGGGACAAAGGGAGACGGTGAGAGAGCAAGGACCAGAGGCCGGGAAAGAGGAGGCAGACAGCTGGGGACATGGTGAGTGGGGAAGGTAAAGGGAGAGGACACTGTGGGCCACAGGAGAGAGAGGGAGCAAAGGGGCAGAGAGTTTTGAGAGAAAAGAGAGCACACACCTTGTTTGCAAGGACCGGAAATGAAAAAATACTAGTTTCATTCATTCAAATTCATTTCAAATACATTTCTGAATCATTCTGAAACAAAGTCAACTTTGTGACAAAGAATGGATTGGTGAGGTGGTTAAGAGTGCAGGATTGAATGTCATGCCACCTAGAATCGGGCTTGGTGTAATTTAAGGTCCTTGAGGGTCTGGAAGAGAGCAATTATTTATATCACTAAAGGTGTAGAGAATAATAACAGCTATGCTTATGCAGATAGCACTTACTACAAAGCACTATTCTAAGTGCTTAAATATACTCATTTAATAACTCACAACCACCTTATAAGGTCAGACATTGGAGGCACCTAAAAGTATAAGTAACTTGCTCCAGATCCCCTATCTTAGAAGTGAAGAGTTGGGCTTTTAGGTTTCGGAGTTAGTGCTTTAGATCACTTACTATATGCACAATCTCTCAAAGAAATTAAAATAGAGTGTATGAACACAGTTGGAGAACATTACTACCCTCAACAAATGATGGACCTTACTCATGATCAAAACAGCAATTAAAACTAGAAAAACAAGCCTCTTTCATACAGCTTCTCCTGAAGAATCTAGGTAACAAGAGACAAAATTGGGATAAGTCAAATATCCATTACGACCAGTGCACTTTACTAATAATGGCATCTTGAGTAAGCTAATTTTATTTAATTAATTTTATCGTAGACTTTTTCCCTCTTCTTTATATTGTTTCCCCACAAACTCAAACTGTTGTTGAAATTCTATTTTAAATTCCCTTCAAAATCATTCTTGGGATTGTCATTTCTTCTCCCCAGCGACTGACTGTGGGGCATCACAGCTGGACTGATAAAGCAGGAAGTTGGAGCAAAAGGGATGAATGTCAGAGTAAGCAGATGATAAGAACAGTTGCTGATGGAAAGTTCCTTTGAATTTAAATCTTTTAATTGCTTCTCAAATCCAAAGTCACTTGGAATCCCCACTGGCTGTGAACATATGAATCAGGGTGGGGAGCTCTTGGGGACTGTGCCCCAGTTAGCACCAAGGGACCCCAAGAAGAGGAGGAAGGAGACATTTCTCTTCTCAGTCCTCCCCTTGCCATTATCCCTTTTGCAGCCTCAGAGATTCTGCATGATACATTGTGGGAAGCTGAGGATCAAATGGGAGTAGACTTTTAAAACTGCAAATTTCTCCAGAATAAGAGACACACATACTCACCTTTTCATTATAGATGTTCCCAAGCATTGTACTTGCTCTCACAATATCTAGGCTTTGAAAATTGTTTCTTGCAATTTCCACAACTTTTTTCAAGTATTTAATTGCTTCTGTCATTTCTCCTTGGCTAGAAATAAATAAAATTGGAAAGCATTGCAGTGTCAGCTCAGTATCACACTGAAAGGAAGATATTTTGTACGTTTGCTGTAGAAAATGCAAGATGATTATCAAGATAATGAAAATAAATGCTAAATTAATAAATATGTGGCTTCTTTGTTGGAGTTAAAACTTTAATTTAATGTGTTAAAAATGGGCTGGGGATTTAGCTCAGTGGCACTGAGCCTGCCTTGCAGGTGCAAGGTCCTGAATTCAATCCCTGGTACCAAACCAAACAGAACCAAACCAAACCAAACAAAACTTACATGTCACTTAAGTCACTCATAGAAATGTTGTGTATTCTGGAATTTTAAAATGTAAAGTTTTAAGCCTTCATACATGGTTAATGGGAATATAAGATGATACATCTGCTTTGGAAAACAATTTGGTAGTTCCCTCTAAATTTTACAGTTACCATAAGGCCTTCACAATATACAACTAAGAGCATTGAAAATATATGTCCACACAAAAACGTGTACATGGATGCTTGTAGCAACATTATTTATAAGAGTCAAGGAGTGGAAACAACTCAAAGGTCCATCAATTGATGAATGGATCAACAAAGTGGTTTATCCACACAATGGAATATTACTCACCATGGGAAATACTGACATATGTCAAAACATAGATGGAACTTGAAAACACACTAAGTGAAAGAAGCCACACAAAGAAGACCACATATTGTATGACTCTATGTACATGACATAGCCTGAACAGGCAAATCCATGGAGACAGGTAGCAGGTCAGTGTCGGAGGGAGGCTGAGAAGTGGGGAATGAGGAGTGACTGGTAATTGATAACAAGGTTTCTTTTCAGAGCGATGAAAAGTCCTGAATTTAGATAGTGGTCACAGTTACAGAGTTCTGTGACTATACCAAAACCAAGGAATTTGTAGACTTTAAAATGGGAGAATTGTATGGTATATGAATTACATCTCAATGATGCTGGGTATTTTCCTTAAAAAGAAACTTTAGAAATTTTACAACAGATGAATGTTTATTCCTATAAGATTTCCCTCAACCAGTGAACTCTCAGGTCACTAAAGTCACATATGTTATATATTCTGGCAAAATACTCAGGAAGACATGATTCCAGCAGAGTGCTTGTCATATACTAGGTGTATATATATATATATA